ATAATATTTTTTGCACATGTCACACCTGATGTACCACATTGAACGTTTTCAGTGATAACGCGGAACGATATAGCATTGGCTTGTGTTAAAATATATTTGCAATTGCCTTGATATGAATAACGAAGACCATCAAATGTTGTATAATGTGGATCACCAGTTGCTGAACATGTTGCGTCACATTCCTGTTGAGTACATGACCATGTTGCACCTGAACAACGACATTCACTACAACCTCGTTTAACAATTTCGTTAAAACCATATACACGACCAGCATATCGACATGGACAAGTATTAGCAGGAATACAAGTCTTCAACTTAAAATAGGTAGAATAAAAAAATATTTATCTCACGTATTTGCCAATATAAATAACTTACATCTTGACTAAGAACTTGTCCATCTGGACAAGTACATCCTTCAAATGTTACTCCACAATTTTGCCATGAATTCATATTATCACAAGTTTTAGGACATGATAAAGCATTTGTTGAATAAATTTGAGTTGCTGGACAAGTTATTGTTGTTTCACAATCTTCAGATTCACAATCCCATTGTCCATTTTTACATGTACTATAATGAAATGTAAATAAAAATAATACAAAAAAAAACAAATCTTTTTACCAATTTCCACATGCTCTTGTAACAACTGTATTTTTTAGACAATAATTATTACTTTCTGGATCATAACATGTACATTCTCCTTGTGAAACACATTGTGGTTTATTTGGACTTGATGTATCTAAATATGTTCCCTTTGGACATGAGCAACCCGCAATACAATTTCGTTCATAACATGTTTGATTTTTTGTTGTTATTTGATCACATGTTTGAGTACATTTTGGTGCACAATCACTATATACAGCTCCACCAGTACATTGTCCATACTGTGCATCTTGACATACACTTTGACATTTACTATCAGCTAACCAATTACATGTATAATTAGCTAAACTACATTCACGTGCATATGCTGCCATTGCAGCACTAAGAAATATATTTTGAAAATGTGAATTTTGGTCTGAACATAAATCATATTCACAATTTTGAATAAATTGAGATGGACTAACATGCGATGAACATAATTTAAATAAATCCGAACCTATTATTGAACAAGCAACCTGTGCTGCGTGTTGAAGCTAAAAATAAATGAATATAATTTGTTTTAATCGTTTGTTTATTATATTTTAACAAATATACAACATACATTACTATTTACTGCACAGGGTTGTTGTTGAGTTGGAGTTATACATTGTGAATCAGTTTTATAATCATCAAGAAATGATTTTATATTTGTTTCAGTAATTGATATATGTGTTAAAAATTCATTATTAGTATTAAAATCATAGGTACCACATAAACCGCGTGTATTATTATAAAATAATGGATCTAAATTAATATAAACTCGAATACCATCAAATTGAATTTGAAAACCATGACCTACAAAAATCATAATAAAAAAAATGCAGGAATAAAATTTTAAATAAAATTAATACCGCTAATCACAATAAAAACAGTTGTTTCCAATTTGACATTCACTTGTTCATTTTTATATGGTAATTTTAATGCATTTTGTCCATTTATTTGAATATTTTTATCTTTAATATATATATATGTTTGATTAACTTTGACAGTTAATTCTTTGAAATTTGATGAAGCTGAATAGTCACTTGCCAATGCTACATAAAGACCAATCACTGGTGTAATTTCCTAAATAAAAAAAAATATTCTTATTATGAATATTATCCTATCAATCGAAAGGCTATTTTACTTCAAGTAAGATATATTCACAAGTACCCATAACATCATAATTTTTTCCATCAAATGTTTGAATATGTGTATTTCCAAGTACTGAACATGTTCTTGAACAATATTCTTGCGTACAATCCCACATACCACTATTGCATGTACTATTATATAACAATAAAATACATATTAAAATAAACATAAGATTAAAATTCATACCATTTATTACAATCAACAGTGACATTTGCTCTTGGTAAATAATATTGTCCATGGTAATAACAAGTACATTGATCAGCGTTAATACATGATCCATTACGACCTATATCAATGACTTTACCTGGTGGACAAACACAACCTGGTGCACAATCTTTTGAACAATCTAATGAATCTGTAAAAGCTTGTTGATGATTTTGACATGTTGCAGGACATGATGTTGCACATTCAGTATAGACTTTGTCATTATTACATGTTTTTGGACAACGATTTGATGTTCTCCAATTACAATGGATATGTTTATCTTCACAATCATGTGCCACTGCTTCAAATGATGAGCATAATGCTTGTTGTTGAACATCTGCACCATATTTAGCTGCTGCACAATGATCACGCACACATGATTGAAACATACGTGTAACATTTATAACACGATTGCATACTTTAAATGAATCGTATGAAGCTGTTATTGGTTGACAAGCATCAGTAGCAGCTGAAAGTAAATCAGCCGTACTGCAAGGGTCAACTGCTACAGAACTTGTTGCACACTAAATTAAATAAATAGTACATCAATTGATAACGATTTTGTTGGACTTACGCCACTATCAGTACGCCATTCATTACCAAAACTAGTAGCTGAAAGACTGATTGATCCATCAGGACATTCAAAATCATCTAAAAGATTTTTGTCAATATAAAAAAACTAAATTTTATTAAAATGAATTATCTTTTACCATCACGATTATTTGTATATGTACCACAAAGACCTCGTACTTGTTTCATATACGTTTGATCAACTGTAACATAAATTGTCATATTACCATCCCATTTACAGCGAAGACCATCGGAATAACGTAAATAAGTATAATCTTCACTACGACGTTCAATTGTAAGTGCTAACAATTGAATAACGAAAAAACAAAAAATGTATATTTAATAAAAAACATTTGCTTTTTATGACTTACGTCCGTTTGTATATCCTTCAGTTGGTTTAATTAGTACATTATTGACCATGATATTTGTTCCATTTGCTACAATATTATAACTATGAACTGTAATACTCAAAGTTTTTTTGCATGTTGACCATAGATCACAATTTGAACTTTGAACAACAACTACCCAACTATCTGTACTAGCTAATTTATATTGACAACTATGTAAACAAATAAATTCTATTATATATATATGTTAATCATTTCATTTTATTGACTTACACTCCTTGAAAATCATAGATAAGCCCGTCAAATGTTCGAAAATGATCACGACCCCATAAAACACATGTAGCATAAGGTAGTGTTCGTTGAACTTGTGTTGTAGCATTAGCAATTTCTTCATCAGTAGCATTACATGATGAACAAGAACCACCAGTCGATGATTTTGTAGCAAGACCAGCTTGAGTTCCACAACAATAAGGTACACTCACAAGATCTGCACTTACAAGTGATGGAGAGCCGCAATCGGAATTACGAAAACATTGAACAAGACGAGAATCATCTAAAAATAATTTAATTTAGACTCGAAAAGAAAAATACAGATAATCTACCTGAAGAATATTGACATAATTCACCAGCAAAACCATTTTTACATGTACATTTATTCGGTGCAGTGCAAGTACCGTTCACACAAGCAGTTTTGCAAATCGGTTGATCACATGAATCACCAGTCCAACCATCACAACATGTTGTTTTTTGCACATTGCTATAATAAATACAATATTTTAATATTATTTTAAAATCATTCGTATAAACCTACCGTTGATAAGGACATAATGAACTACTAGCTGTTTTGCTCTTGATGCAACCTACAATTTGATCATCAGTTTTGAAACCTTGTGCACGTAATGCCTATAATCATTTCATTTATTATACTAAGAAAAAACTATTGAAAAATGCTTACATTGGTATCAATTCTCCATTGGTCCGATGACTTTTCATATTCAGCTGTCAAACTGAATGTTGATGCATCTGGACAAGTATCATTTTTCGTTTCAGTAACCGTTACTGAACATTGATTCGCTTTGTTTGTTTGAGCAGTAATACTAAAAACAAATGAATATTTTTTTTGTCTTCAAATCAATTATTTTACTTACCGAAAATTCGTAAGACATGCCAAAAAAAGAATCGCATTGAATAACGACAAGTAAGTAAGCATCTTACTGTCGTATCAAAAGGAAAAGGTGTTTTATTAATGTATCAATATGTTAGTGTTTATATACTTGTATGTAAATAAGAGAACTTTCCATTATTTCCATATTTTTTCTCGATGAACAACAACAACAAACAACAGCTTGCTTATTTTCATATCAATATTTCTATTGTATAACAAATTTGACTTTATAAACAAGAAAGATTTCCATATCATTGATATTATAAATAATGTATATTATTCAGGATAAAATTATTTCAATACTAACCAGCTGGTGTTCTTGTTGATCATGTGACTATTTCTCTTTTGAATTTAAATTTCTAATTTCGATGGACTTTGTATTTCTATTTACAGGTATGGTAACAGAAGTCGTTTTTTATGTAAATCATTTTGATTTTTAATTTTTCTTTTTCGAGAATTATTTTGAACAGTTGTACGTTTTTATTTTATATATTCTTAAATTAGTATAGATCATATCTACAATACGTTTGAATAGTTATTTTTATCCATTTTCATATACTACAGATATTTATGTAACTAAATGGTTAAGCATCAATCCTTCATATTATTGAATAAAAATAACCATAGTGGTTGTTTTTTTATTGTTAAATTCCAATAGGATAAAATTTTTGTCTTGGACATATGACTTTTGGTATGAAGATAAAATATTTCCACGCAGATATAAACACATTCTATCATCATTGAGAAATATTTTAGTTGATATTATCAATGATTAGATAATATGTGAAAAGAAAAATAATACCAAAATAAGGATTAAGAAATAGTATAAATTAGTCACATCTGTTTCATATATTAAATATATACAAGAACGAAATATTCTTTTTTTTTACTTTACATTTCGTTATTTTTCTTATTGAGATAACACTAAATCAAAATTATTATGATGGGCATTACTTCTAAATTTGACCGTCAAACATCGGATATATTACCTATCTATGTTAATTCCGATCCAACATCTGGTACAAATAATGTTCGATTAAGACATATGAAGGTAATTAATATTTTCATTTGAAACTAAGAATATAAATTTTTGTTTAAAATATCATAGCCAAATATTTCAAAAGAAACAACATCGCTACCTGCACATTTTATTCTTAGTACTGATGATTATCATCCAAATGTAGAAGGAAATGATTTCAATCGTACCTCACGATATAAACATAATAAAACACAAATCATTTTTTTAATTTTTACCTTCTTGGTATATTTTCTTTATACAATACGAGCTTATATATCTGAGAAAATACAAACAACATCTGGTAGTGACCTACATTCTTTTCCTACAGAATTTTGGTATATTATTAAACCAAAATCAATAATACGAAATTATACATTAAATTTACGTGCAAATTTAATTATTGAAAATCGTCTTATTCATACAGCAGAAATTTGTCAGGTAATTTTATTTAAATAATACATGATTTAAATATTCTCTCTATATTCAGACATTATGGTTAGTCTATATATTATCATATATTGTACGACGTACTCATTTGGGTTATCTATATCGTAATCCAAATGTATTTAGTACATGTACTTGTCTTCTTCTTATCAGTGCACTTTCTTTTCAAATAATTAGTCAAGCAACATTATCTACTGAAGTATGTTTTAATTAGATTGAAAGATTTTATTCATAAAAAAAAACATTTCGGTTGTTTTAGGTTTCATGTGCTTGTCTGTTTATTAGTTTCATTCTTTTAATTATTACTTGTCGTTTAATTACAGTGAAAGTATTAAAACACGAAGAAAAAATAAAGTATTTTTTGTATTATTTCATAAAAAGAAACTTAATATTATTTTGTAGATCAACTGAAGTAAAAATTATTCGTTGTTTTATATTAAATAGTCTTTTTCTATATACAACATCAATTGGTTATTTAACAATATGTAACTCCATTGAATGTATTTCTTTACATCTATTTTCAAATCTTACATCAATAACAACAATTGGTTTATTAATTGCACTCAGTCTGCTAATTATTTATTTTCTTCTTGATTATTTTATTTACAAAAATGAATTTCAATTAATATTATCACCTTATTTATTCACTGCAATTGCTTTTCTTTGTCCACCATTACATGAATTATTATCAAATGAATCATTGATTATCGAGAATAATTTGAACTTCTATTTACATTGGGCACTTTTCAGTACAACAATATTAATGATATTAATTCATATTTGTCGAAAAATATCTATTAAATATCGTGCAATGAAAAACAAAACAAATAAAAAATCTTTAATTCCACAAGCAACTTTACCAACAATGACTTTCGAACATTTTTCATAAGAAAAAAGGACATGTGAATAAATCTGTAATTAATTTTTAATTATTATTATCTAATACAAAATATTTTATCAGGATTAATAAAATAAAACTAACATAACAATAATATGTGTTTGAATGTTTTCTATAATCACATTTCAAGAATTTTAATATAGACATATCTTTTCTCATAATCGCACAGTCATATACGCCACCTTTCGGTTTTTATATAATCATTGCCTAAATAAGATCAGCCAATAAAAACATTATTTCGTTCTATACATCGATGAAGAAGTCAATGTACTAAAGTATTGATAGAGAAAACGTACCAAAAGGTTGTATTATCGAATACAAGTTTACTTGAGGAAAACCATTGTCATATTTTGTTCAGATAATGTCTATTATCAGTAATTTAATGCTACGTCAAACTTCACTTTTACATCGTGTTTATCACGTAAATATTGCTCGACAAACATTCGCACCATTCAGTACTAGTGTTCGATGTCTTGCGGATCCAGTTAATAAAGAATCGTCAACTAGTACATCATCAAAACAAGATATAGATGAAGGTCGATCATTCGATAGTGTGCGTATGTACATATTTCTTATTTTGATTTCTAATTTAAATTATTTGCATTCGTAGCTGTACATCTTGGTTCACTCGCTAAATTAGTTATGGTTATGGGTGGACTTTATAGTCGTGTCGGTGATGTTCCTGATACTATACCGTAGGTTACAATCAATAAATATGTTATAATAATAAATTTATTTTAGTAATCGTGTATATCAAAAAACAAAAGATAGATTTCGAGCACGATGTGTTGTAGCTTCTCTATTCGGTACAGGTCTTTTGGCTTTAATTGCAGCAATGCGTGGTAAAAGTGCACAAAAAGAAGGCAAACGATTTACAGATGATGTTTATAAAATGCATCGTGGAGAATCTCGACTTCATGATCAATTAGAATCAATGCATCGACATAAAACACCTTCTGAACGATATTCACCACCAGTAGATGAAATCAATAAATAATCCATCAATTCAATTATTGACTTTCTTTTATATGAAACATATCTGTATTAATCATGGACTCTTTTTAAAAGAAACCTAGTTTTTATTAATAGCGTTCTTGATATTTAGATTTATTTAATTATAAAATTAACTCCAAGATAACTAGTTCAATTTCTTATCTAATGTCTCATTATAATTCCATACAAAGTTATTTAGCTTTGATGATTCTCAAAGAAGATCATTAGTCTTCCATTAAAATTGCACTTCCGATTTAGTTCATTATATTATTTTTCTTTGAACTTTTTTTATCATGACATTAATCATACTTCATGATTCATAAAAGAAATAGTTTCAAGTATTTAGAGGGATACCGACAAGCAGTGGCGGATTTAGGGGGGTGCCCTCCCCCTTCCGATTTTTTTTCTGATTTTTTACAACAAAAATGGAAGAAAAAATAGGTTCACACTACTTCGATTGGATTCAAAAAATAGCTTTTAGCCAAAATCGCCCCCCCCCCTTCTAAAATCCTAAATCCGCCACTGCCGATAAGTCTTTGACAGTACAACGAAAAAGTAAAGAATGATTTCAGTAATACCCATTTATATATATCTAAAAGAATATTCTTGTTTATTTTTAATGGAGCGGAAGAAATCATAATAATAAACAAAGCACCTCAATATATTCAAAAGAAAGAACACTATCACCTAGATATATACAAAAGCAAAAACAAAAACAGGAAAAACGCCAAAAAAAAAGAAGAAGAAAAGTTCACTGTTCTTTATTGGATATATTGTTTTCAATTTAAACATAATATCGTTTTCGTAGAATGTCCACAGATGACGTACCATTATTAGTATTAGTTGTTAATAAGGATGATGTCTGTCTTGGTAAAATAGGTATTTGTCTAATTGTTTGTATACGTTGATCAGCTAAAGTTGTATCAATCGCATTTTCAAGACGTTCTTTAAGTAAACGACTATTTGAGCATAATGAACAATTATAATGACCATTTGATCCATGATCATGATGTACTGAAGATGATAATGATGATGGTGGTGGTCGATGATAATTATTATTTGTTTTTGTTGGCGTCAGTAATTGTTGTGGTTGTGGTGATGGTGATGATGATGGTCTAACATCATTAATTAATTTTGACATAAGTAAGTGTTTTTCTCGAAGTTCTTGTTCATATAATTGACGTAATAAATCAGTTTCAGAAGAAAATTGTGGTTGTTGTTGTTGTTGTAAATTTCTTGGTGGTTCATAATGTAAAACTAATTTATCGAAATCATGTCGAAGACGATCAAGTTCATATTTAACACGTTCTGTATCTGAACGAATTTGTTTCGAATTTTCAGAATTGACATTTTCATTTTCTTGATATTGTTGAAAAGTTCTATTTAATTTTTTATGTTCTTGTTCTTGACGTGATACTGTATCACGTAAACGTTCATTATCTCGTTCGGTTTGTAAACGTTGTTCACGTTCATGATCATAATTTCGTTGTAATGTATCACATTTTACACAAGGTGAAGAACTAAAATAAATATCGATTCATTTTTTACAAATACTAATAAAATTTAAAAGACTTACGGTGAATGTTGATAATGTTGGTGGTGTTGTTGTTGTACGGGATTATTGAATGGTGCTGATGTAAGAACAACAAGTGGTTCTTGTAAAGTTGGTAATGGTTGTTGTTGTTGTTTACTTGTTATTTCTTTTCGTTCATTATGATAACGTTGTTCAGCATTAAATTTTTCTGATTCAATTGTATTAAGACGTTGTGTAAGTGTTTCAAATTCATTTTTTATTTCTCGATCTTTTGATGCTATCAATGCTTCATTTTGTGTTTGTAAGACAAGTAATCGAGCTTCAGCATCACCTAATTTAAGATTTAATTGTTCAATTTGTGATTTATATTTTCGACTATCATCTGTTGAACGTTGTGTTTGTTTTGTTTGTTCTTGTAATTCATGTGTTAATTTTTGTTCAAGTTTAGAACGATCTAATAGTATAACACGTATTTCATCTTGTAAATTATCATATTTGCCTTTATAGTCAGTTTTTTCTTGTTCAATAAAATCTTTTTCATGTTTTAAACGATCTAATTCGCGTTGTAAAAATAATTTTTCTTCTAAAGCTTTTTCTAAATCAATTTTATAACGGATTGTTACATCGAGTGATTCTTTATGTAATTGTAAATCGGATTGTAATTGTCTTGTACGTTGATGAAGATCATCATTTTCAGCTGATAATAATTTCATTTCTTCGCGATGTCGTAATTTGATTTTTTCAATATCTTCTTCACGAAGAACACCAGCATTTGCAGTTTGTAAAGTTGTAACTTGATGTATACGATATTTTTCGTCTAAAGAAATAAAATAAAAATTTAAATTCAATGTTTATTTTGTAGAACAACGGATGAGATTGAATTACTTAGATTAATTGAAAAATGAATAAATATATCGAATGAAGTTTAGTTAAGCGTTTAAATTTCAATGTGTTCTGGTTGTTTATATGATGAACTATGTCTGATAGGGCAAAGAAATAGAACATAAAATTGACGTATGAACGCTGTTTTAACGGTGAACTAGAGTTGGTGTGTGTAATAGATGAACTGAAGAGAGAAATGGTAGTTGTGCACTTTACGTCTATTTAACAGGTTCGAGATGAAAGTGATAGAATATGTAAAATAATAGAAGACTCAACTATTGTTCAATGTATATTTATTTCTTTTTTAGTCAAGTTGAACTTCATGTTGATTGTTATTATTGTGCATTTTTACCATTAAAATGATCAATCAACATTTTAAGTAGAGAGTAAATATTACATTGATGGAGAATAGATGTAATACTAGAATTCAACTTGCTCTTTCATACTTATATGAACATTGAATAGACGAAGTTGTCTATTTCAAGACAGAAATATTGATATAGCAACAATTTCATTTAACTATGGAATATTTTCGATACTAGATCTGGTAAGATAATTTAAAATAGAATATCATTGCCTTTGAATTAGTCTAGTCTCACTCATACAATAGACATACTATAGCGTCGTAAAAGTCACTATATGAAGGGGTGGCGCGACCGGGTCCAACACCTTCCCAATGTTCGAAAATTCCTATTTTTGCTCAACAAAATTGGCAAATCTTCTTAAATTTTTGACCAAAAATAATGTTACCCCCCCCCCCCCCCCCTTCCCCAATGCTGACTGACTCGTGCCACCACTGACTATATGATAAATATAATATTTCCTAAAAATATAACCTTAATTCGCGACTTTAATTGGTAACGACGCCAAGGGTGGGTTGAGTCCACCCTGAATTTTTTTCAGATCTTAAAAAACCAATGATATTTTATCTGAGCCCATTCTGGACTAAATTTCTGGCGCCGCCGCTAGCAGTGATTCTCTAACCCCAATTCTAAAATACTCGCGGCATCGCTGCGTAGTTAGAAAGATATAATAAGAGTATAAATATATTTATTACCATAATTATCACGTTCTTCTTTTAAATTAATATAACGTTGATCTAATAATTTCTTGTCTTCTTCTAATAATTCAAGTTTTTGTTTGATACTTCTTAATTCTGCATTTAAATTTTTTGTTGCATATTCTAAACGTTGCTTTTCTTTAATTTCTTTTTCTAATTTTGATTCGGTTTCACGTAATAATTGATCATTTTTTTGATATAATGCTTCGAAATTATTCTTTTTTATTTCCATATCTTTTAATTGTCGCTTTAATTCTAAACTATTTTCTTGTTTACGTTCAATTTGTTTAATATCTTCTTTGAGTTCAGTTAAACGTTCCTAAATCGATATACTATTTAGAATAAACCCAACTTAGAAATATTCTCTTACCATATTATTTTGAATGGATGATGTAGAAGATGACATTGAACCACGTAGACTATTAAATTCATGATGCATTGATGTACGAGGTATTTGTCGATGAGTACTTTGTTGAATCATTTCATTGGAATGATTTCTTGTCAGAAAATCAAAATCGTGTCTATCAGTTGTTGTGGTTGTTGTTGTTGAAGACCAATGTTCTACAAATAATGTTTTATAAGTGATATGAATTTATTTTTTGTTTTTATTTATGCATAATATATCGATGCCAGAAATGAGAAATTTAGTATAGTATTATATGTGTAAAAGTCATTGTCGGGGATTTTCTTTTCTTCCATTGTTAAAGTATCAGAAGTAATTCTTATTTCTATGATTATTATGTAGAAGCCAGCCGAAAAGAAATATTGCTAGAGGGTTATAATTTCATGTCTCGACAAAAAAAAGTAGTTTAATTCAAGGTAAAGTATAATCTCTAACTTAATGTATTCTTTAATCATTGAAATTTAAGTTAATATACTATGTAATATGAGAATTTGATTATCAAATGTTGAAAACGAACGACACAATATTTCTTTTTTTTGAGTAAGTAACGAAGAAGTCATTCATCGATTTAACTATTTTCAGACAGTTGTATTTAGATTTTATTTTTTACAAAGCGAAAACCAAGATGAAGGTAAACAAAAATGACTGATTTATTAGATGCGTTCGTCTTCCTTAGGAAATAAAAGATTGTAAGGTTCTATTTTGTTGTTTGTCTTCATACGTAAACTATCTCTCAAACTTCATTTCCATATAGGAATCAATATAAAGATACTAAAATCTCGAATATATATTACATATTTACATAGCTCATATAAAACTATTAGTAAAGTTATGTCAATACTATATAGTAAATTTGATAAAACTTTATTTCTATGTATATTAGTAATAAAAATAAAATCCTATATTCCTTCAATGTGTTTTATGATTGATTTTAGAAATAATAAAATTTTACTATGACCTGTTTGATTATAAACACTATGTGACGATCGAATTAATTCTGACGGGTTACATTATACTGTAACAAATAAATAGATTCAATTGTATGCATAATAATCGAGACGATTACCTCTAACATTTATTAAAATAAAAGCTTGATCAACTTATTTTTGTTATACTATTCTGTATAGGTATAGAAGAAAAGAATAAATAAAAGAGAAGAATACATATCAAAGACAGTATGAATTAATGTGCTAGTCATACAGTTCGTAACTAAACAGGTCTAATCGAAATTTGAATATTTCATTTTTAGTATATTTCATCATAATCTTACTTTCATTCATATTCTCATTGTATAATTGTTGTTTTACATTTGTAGTTCCTGCACCTGACATTGCTAATGATCGGACTGTATCATCGATTAATGAACTAGCATTTGACGATATTGAATCATTCCGTTGAAGTAAAGGTGATACAATAAGTTTACCAATTAATTTTGGTGATGCTGTTGTTGTTCTTGAAAAAAAAAATTGATTATGAACAAAAAAATGAATTTTAAAATTTTTTATTTACTGTTTTGGATGAGTAGGCGACGAATGTTTAATATCATGAATAATTTTTGTTAAATTTTCAACACCACCTGTTGGTTTAGTTTCAGAATGATGTGTTGGTTGTATATTTGTTTGAACTAAATTTGTTAGAACTTCATTTGAGAATGGTGATCTGACAATAGTTGACATTTTATTGTTTTGATTATCATCACTTTCATCTGAACTACTTGATGTTTTAATTGAATTTCGTTTTAAATCAGGACTTAATGGACGAGAATCATCTAAATTTACTTCACTGATTTTTTGAGTATGTAATGGTTGTTTTTGAATTAACGAACTAATTCCTTTTGTTGTTGGTTCTTTCTTTGGTGTTTCAGATCTAGCCGACCAAGTTGAATCATCACTTATTGGTGATTGTGGGTGTGGAATTGGTGTTTGTTTAGGCATAGTATAACTACTTGCAACTTGTGTATTAACTATATTTTGAATACCATTTGATGGTTTTTGTACATTATGTTTTAGAACGGCAGCTTCAATTGAATCTTCATCACTTTTCGATTCATCAATACTATCTTTTCTTGTTACTGTTGTGGTAAACATTGCTGTACCATCTAATCTTGGTAATGTTGGTTGTTTAACAAGATTTGTTATAACTGGTTTAGTATGATAAACATCTGTATCATCATCATCGTTATCAGATTGTGTTGCTGAAGACGAATCCCATGTATCGACTCGCTGTGCTTTGACAATATGTTGCTGTTCATGAGTTGATGCTGTATCATGTGTCCAGGAATTTGAAGTTGATGCAATTGGATCTGGATGTGGTATAGTATCAACAAGTGAATTAATTGTTACATTTTTTTTTACAGATGATGGTTGTCCAACAATAAGATTAGTAGCACGAAGTGATTTTTCAACTGACATACTCGTTGATGTATCATCAGTATCTTTATATTGAAGTGGTGAAGGTCCAATACCAAATATAGATGATGGTTGTTTTTGTTGAGCTAATTAAATAGAAATAGTATTAATGATATTATAAAGAAGAATAAGAAACTTACATATAATTGGTTTACTATTAATGACTTCATCTGGTTGTATTGGATTATGATTAACAAGATTTGATACTGTTTGATTGGTAGTTTTTGATATATTTGTTTTTGTTAAATCAGGTTCTATTGGATTATTACTAGCAAGATTTGATATTATTTGATTATTGGGTTTTGTTACATTTGTTTTTGGTAAATCGGGCTGTATTGGATTATTTTTGATTAAATCAGCTAATGATCGAGGAGTTTCTGGTTTTGTTGTAGTTGTTGACGCACTAGTTTGTCGTGAAAATTGACTTGATGGCCGTTTTATTTGTTGTGGTGATGATCTCGATGATTGACTTGTTTCACTTGCAGATATATCATCGTCATCATCATCATCATCTTCAAAACGTTGTGATGGATCCATTGTAACATGATTTACAGCTTGTTCACTAATTGATCCAGATATTTTTCTTCGTGGTGTAATTTTTGTCCAACCTTGTTGATAATCATCAATTATTTTCGCACATTCATCATAATGTTTTATTTGTGCTATTTGAAATGCAGTTAATTGTTGAGAATCAACAATTGTTGGATCACATGGTTCATCCGGATTTGATTGAAGTAAAGCTTGAATTATTTCTGGATTATTAGCACTAGCTGCCATATGTAATGGTGTTTGTCCGCTTCTATTCATTAAATTTGGATCAGCTTGTTGTTGATAATCTTCAGATAAAAGCATACGAACAATATTAACATTATTTCGTTTAACTGCTAAATGTAATGGTGTCATTTGATCACGATCTCGAAAATTAGGATCAGAACTACGAACTAATAGAAAAAGATCAACAAGTCGTTCTTGTCCAAATTCAACAGAATAATGTAAAGCATTTTTTCCATGAGCATCAACTGCATTAATAACTATAGATGTATAAATATGAAAACATTATTTAAAGAAAATAATTCTATAATTCTTACAAGCATCAGCTCCTCCATCTAATAATGTTCGACAGATTTCATAAGTTACTTGAGGATTTTGATTACCACTAAGAACGGCTTTAACTAAAGGCGTCCGATTTTCTTTATCAAGAACATCTAATTTTGCACCTTCATGAACAAGATATTTTACAATTTCTAAATGTCCTTTAGCAACAGCTAGATGCAATGGTGTCTATTCAGAATAAATACAAATTATATTTTCAGAAAAAAAGAAATTTTATTACTCGTAAATTTTGATCTTTTACATTGATTTGTCCTGGTCGTGCCAGACGTTCAACTTTATCAATATTACCTTCCCATGATGCTTTATGTAGTTTGTTTTTGTCTAGTTCTTTTGGATTAATATTATATGACGAAAGATTATCAAGCGATGAAGCAGAACGCATGCCTGATGATGCACCACCTTGTCGATTATTTCCACCAATAGATAATTGTGAGCCATGAGCTGATTGATGTTTTGAAGACGAACTACTACTACTGAAAAGACGTGAAAGAAATTTTGCCATATTCCGTTTTTTCTTATTGAAATTTTCGTCTGTGTGTGTTTTTAAAAGTATCTAAAATAGCCACAGAATCAACAAGAAACATAAATGAATCGATGTGTGCAAATAAATTCACACAAAAGAAAACAAAAAAATGTAAAAAAAATTTTCTATAATAAATTGATAAAAATAAAAATAATACTATACTTTAAATTCATTCTGATAAGATAATGAAACTTACATGATAATTCATGTGAAAACAAATTGTTTAATTTCATACATTTATTTATCCAACAATTTGTT